TGCGAGACAAAACCGATCCTTCATATTCCCGTGAAGTTGCCCCCTTCTTTCTTCTGGAGACGATAGCTCGGCTCTTTTGTGGGAAACTTTGACTCCAAAATTTTGAAACGCGCGAAATACAAGATATAAGCGTGATGGACAATTAATCGAAACTTTTGGAACTTCGTGTAAATTTATGCAAGCTTATTTCGGATTTGCTGTCGGGGGAGACAGTCGGTTAAAGGTCGGTCGCGCTCGTGTCTCGCCACTTAATGCAATTCGCGAAAGGACATCGCCATCTTCGAGACAGGGAGGCAGAATTCCCCGGTGACTCGTAAGAGATCCGTGCGTTTCGAGCACGCATGCAATGCACACACACATACGCGCGTACACACACACATACACACACATACGCACGTGCGACGCGCGAGCGCGAGATGGAAGCAATATTACAGCGTTCGATATAAGGACACTCGTGTACGTCACGAATGAGACTCGCGCTATTCGCGCGGTCCGTCGCGAAAAAGAAAGGACCCAACGTCTTTCGCGCTCCCCTTCACCGACTATGCACACTGTACAACAATACACCGTTCCGTTTCGGGGTATGATTTGTACTCATATAATTACACTCTTCTCGTTGAAAATATATATACTAATAATAAATATAATAATTGACGCGATCTCTCACAAATATATTCGGCTTATAACGCGACCCACGCGTCGCCGCGCTGCAGGGCGGAGGCGATCGTCCTTTCCGAAAGGCATTAACGTGGAGGATCGTTGCGCGATCGAACCGTTCGATGTCGATGCGATCGATCGTTCGCAGATCTTCGGAATGTCCTCTTTCTTTCTTTCTTCCTCCCCCTCCTCGCTTTCGCTCCTCTGTCTCCGTGGATGTTGCGCGCGGCATTCGTGACACGGACGTCGATCTGTAGTCTTGAGACGACAGTTTTGCAATATCATTGCGTAATATTATATTGTTATAATACTGTGATACATTACAGTATCGTGTACTGCGTTCTTATATACACATATATTATAGCATTATAATATTGAAACATTACGCTGCCGTGAGAAACGCGCTTCAGAAACGTGGAACGCGAGCGTCGAGTCGCGAATCGACGCCGTACGACACATGTGGAGTTTGTATATGTGTGTGTCTGTGTGTGTACGCAAATGTGTGGAGTATCGGTAGACTATCAAATCCCATTAATCGGCAAGTGAATTCTCCTCTCGTGATCGTCGGCGCGGAGCGCCGAGCGAGGACGTGAACAACTTGCCGTGCGCACGGACCATTCATTTGTTTCCCTTGACTGTCGTTCAATTGATCGTTGCTTCGATGATTAACGTGTGAACGACACCGGTACGCGATACTTGACGGGCTTAGCATCGAGTATTCGTTTTTGAGCGAAGTATCGCGCGGCTCGTCGATATTCGCGGGCGTATCGATCGGTTGAAAGCGATCCCCATCGGGGGTGTCTATGCACCCTCACAGCAGGATTCGCGCGTTGCTCGCGTTGTCAGGGAAGCGCACTGAAAAAAAATACTTGAACATTTATTTGTGAGATATAAAGTTGATTTTTGTGAAATAAAGTTTATTTCTACGAATTAAACTTTATATCCCGCAAATAAATATTCTAGAATTTTTTCTCAGTGTACCAAGAAAAAATACACCTGCTAAAATTTATTTAACGGGTTATAAAGTTTATTTCTTAAATAAAGTTTATTTCTGTAAAATAAAGCTTACTCCTGTGAATAAACTTTACATCCCGCAAATAAATTTTCAAATCCTTTTTTTCTTAATGTATAAGCACGTAATTGATGATTCCCGACGGATTCGGCGACAAATGTGCGTACGGCGATCGCGTTGCGGAACGTTACAGTGAAATGGAATCGTACAAATTACACGAGAGGATAAAAGAAAGTACTAAAGTCGGAAGATTCCTCGAGGAAAACGCGGAAGCGCGTCGTCCGTGTTTTTAGCCGCGAAGGAGAAGAACTCGCGCGATCCGTCTTTTTTTATTGTCCTACTTTCGGGAAACATGGTCGTCGCAGGATCCATCGGACGTCCTCGTTCACACGCTCCCCCGAAGAGATCGATTCGCGACGTCGAGAGGTGCGACGTCCACGTCTTCTCCCTTTCTCCCTACGAGCACGCGTAGTATACGTGTCCGGCGGAAATAACGCAGCGATGCGAGACGAGAGAAGATATTTCCAGAATGTCCTCAGAATATTCCGATCCTCGGAGAATATTTTCAGAATATTCTCGCTCCCCGTATAACGTATTTTCTCCGCGAACATCCCCGGACTATCCCACGGGATATTTCCCGAGGACGTCTCGAGGACACGCCGGTGTCCTTCGCGAGTGTCTCATCAGCGTGTCCTCGGGATAGATTCCTCGGCGTGTCTTCGGGATACCCGCGGGGCGTCTCGGGATGGCCTCCTTGGGAACACCCTCGACTCGCACCACCGATCGTACTGTGTGTATGTGTGTGTGTGTATGTGTTCACGTGTACGTGTATATATATTTTTTATTTATATATATTTTTGGTAGTAGGTATACGTCTATGTGGATACTTTCTGTCGTCTAATTTACACGTATTAATCCCTCCATACCATTCTTAATTTATCGTAATACCCATTAACAACGCGTTACATGTGTCAGATTATCGTGAAGGTTTCCGGTGCCGATACCGTCGATGCTCCTCGATACCGTTCGCCGTCCCTAATCGATACATTTGAAAGTCAAGTGTGCGCGCCTCTAGTTTTCCGTCTCCTCGTGCCATTCTCGCGCGTATCTCTCTCTCTCTCTCTCTCTCTCTCTCTCTCTCTCTCTCTCTCTCTCTCTCTCTCTCTCTCTCTCT